GCGTGTACGGGAGAGAAAAAGACTGAGAGGAGGGGGATGGAAAAGCAAGAGAATAAAAAAAACAAACCACAAAGAACTGAATGTGTGAAGATAAGATGTGATACTATGTAGATGATGACTGAAGGAAGCGTAAGGGGAGAGGACATGGACAGCAGGCACATGAGGGTTTAACATTTGGACATAGCAGCAGAAGAATATTTTTTGCCATAGCAGCAAATTGTGACCCTGCCTCAAACTTTAAGGATTCAGCTATTGCTTAAATCCAAAGTACCCTGAGACCCGTGTGCCCCCAATTTCTCATCTTTCCAGCACATAGATTACAATTAGGAGTGTAGATTGAGGCTGTACAAGTCATGTGGTTTTGGTGGAGGGAAGCAAAGATGTTCAGCATAAGAGGTGATCTGCAGGTAAAACGGTGCTGTAAAGCTGGCCACACGTCATGTTTGTTCTTAAATGTGATCGTTTTATGAAACAGTGGTAAGATGTTTTCTTCCATTGACCCCACACACGGCACTTTATACTTCTCTTTGATTAGATTTGTGTGGTGATGACATTTAAAACTGCATGATGTCACTCTCTTCTATTTCATTTACTGAGCCACTTGTACCCAAACATCTTTAACAACCCGATCATTCAAGATAGGATTTATTTTGTCTACCATCCAATCCAACCATCCAATGTGTAGTCCTATCCAATCTTTCCCCTCAAACTATCCCAGGGGTTTCATCTGATCGTATTTGTAACAAACAAATGTGGCCACAAGCACTACAATAAGCATAAGAGGTGATCAGATAAAGAAGAGTACATGCAAATGATAATCATGTGTGGCCAGCTTTAGAGAAAGGTTTTCAAGGATGAGTTACCTAGAATGTCAAGGGAGGCTCGATGGTCTTTAGCAGGAGTGTAATGAATTCATGCTCCAAAATGGAACCTGAAGAAGGAGCAGTGGTGCCATGTGTGGTGGTTAGCTAGAAGGTTGAGTCGTGCTCTGCAGATCATGGGCAGTAAACATGTTAAGGAAGACATACATTGCAGGTCTCCCTTACTTGAGTAATAATCAGTACAAAGGATAATGGTCTGCAGAGCAACATTTCACAAAGATGGTAGGTACGATACATAATGCATTCTCCTTCAGCCCCTGGAACTAAGTCCATCCAGTTATAAACTCAGGCACATGTGGTAACAGCTGGTGCCCCAGAAACTGATGGTGAGCAGCCTGCCTTTTCACCACCTTTCTTGTCCTTCTGTTTAAGGTGTATCTTGGCGTGCCGTTTTCTCTCATCGCTGCGTGCAAACTTGCGTCCACAGAAGTCACAGGCGAAGGGCTTCTCTCCTGTGTGAGTACGGATGTGGGTAGTCAGGTGGTCAGATCGGCTAAAGCTCCGCATGCATATACGACATTGAAAGGGCTTGTGTCCAGTGTGAATACGCAGGTGACGGGTCAGCTCATCAGAGCGTGAAAAGCGCCTATCACAGCCCTCAGCCGGACAAGCATGGGGCCTTTCATGGAGTGGCGTCTTGCTAGGACGGTTTGGGTATTTCCTTGGGCGGATTGGTTTAAGAGTAAGTGGGGGTTGATGGCTCATGCCCCCAAAGCTTGGCAAGACTTGCTTCTCTTTGAATGCTTTGATGGTTTCCAGAGGGGTGATGGGTGGTGGATTAACCCGCATGGCCTCCATGTTTTGGAAGGGCTTTTGATCTACTGTGGGTATCTCAGTGTTGTGGTGAAACAAGTTGTAGTCTGGTATCATAGGAAAAACACTAGAGTCTAAGCTCTGTTTGGTAGATGAGTAGTCTTGGGAGGAGTAGGGGGTCATACCGCCTCCTTGGAAGCTCACCTGATCATGATACAGGTCCCCACAACTAGAATAAGGTGGAAGACTGTGGAACATTGACTCCACATCACTTTGCGTTTGACCCATGATGCCACCATTCCCTCCACTACTTCCTCCCCCACCTGCACCGGTGGCTTGGGATGTTGGCACACCAAGGATGCCTGCGCTCATCAAGCTTATTATATTTTCTTGGCACCAGTTGGAGGGGGAGTCAAAGGAGAACTTGCCCAGGTAGGTGACAGTCTTATTACCCGGCTGGAATGTACCTGTATATGAGAGATCCTGGGAATTCTTGTCGTTAGCCAGGCCTAAGTCCATAACGTTATCTAGAGGGTAATAAAGAGAGAGAGAGAGGAAGTAAAATACACTGCTTGTTTCAATCAAATCTTGTTTCCAAAAATCTTGTATAAACAAGTACACTGTATATTCCAGGAAACACATACTGTATAAAATCTCCAAACAGGGAAAGAGATTTCATCTTGGTGATAGTCACATACAAAGCCGCATATTGTTGTACCATGGTAGACATCAACTGACACAGAAAATTGGTAACAATACAGGTTTGGATGAAACTATTACTAACAATGCATGTACAGTGGTACCTCGGTTCACGAACGCTTCTGTTCGCGAACAGGGAGTTTGTCAGAATTTTGCTTCCGTTCATGAACTCCGCATCGGGTGACGAACACAAGCGCGGCCATCTTCCCCGCTATGACATGGTCATGGCTTCCTCTAGTCGAGATCGCGGTCTGATGACAGTTTGATTCGGTTCACGACCAACTCGGTTCGCGACCAGAATAGTGGAACAAATTAAGTTCGTGTACCGAGGTACCACTGTATTAGTGATACCTCCGTTGTATGAATCGTTGTATGACTTAAGTTCGTGAACCGAGGTACCACTGTACATTTATATGTTATTCCTGTGCCATAGACAGCCATCATCTTTTCCACATCTGTCTAAATTTCACATAGCGAGCAACAAAGTTCTAAATCAGGGGTGTCAAACTCAATTCAATCGTGGGCCGCATTAACATAATGGTTGCCCTCAAAGGGTCTGTAAGACTATATAAATGTATCTAATCATCATAATTGGCTCTGCATTCCATTATCACTGGTTTTAGTAATAACGTAATACCTAGATCTGAAAGTAGAAGTCTAGGAAATGGCCTGGTGGGCCGGATTCGGCCCCTGGGCCTTGAGTTTGACACATGTGGTCTAAATGGTAAAGTGCCACAACCCTTAGTATGAGTTCCTTCTCACATATCGTACATAGTTGGTGACGGCACAGTGTAATTGCCATAATACAATTTTCTGTAGATAAGTGTTCACCGAACTATGTTACATGACAGGGACTGTCTCTTACTGTACTGGGATCGCTGAAGGCTTAAGGCTAGGTTCACACCTGGGGGATCTGTGCCCGCGTGGCAATCATGCACAAAACCATACGGATCGCGGTCACAGAATCGCCCACCACTGCCGATCACGCTGTCTGGACCATTATTTTTCGAATGGCACCCCAGTCGCACCGGGCAGATCCCACTACGATATCGCCTGTGCAAAAAGCAGCGCATTGCGTGTCGCAAAAAACAGTACTTGTACCTTCTTTTAGCAATTGCCACTCGGCTGTAACCCCATTGAAATCAATGGGGATGTGTAGCAATCGCTGTGTGCAATTGTACACGATCGCGCGGTCCCGGACATATAGTACAGGCAGTATGGAAACACAGCTTGCATGGACTTGTATATGTTCCAGTGGACATTTTGGAGAAGACAGCGGAGCCAATGGATGCTGGCAATGTAGGCAGTTGGGACGTGTAGTCATTTTTAACAGTACAGGCGGCACTGGCATGTTGCGGAGGTTGTGATAATATTACACATATCTTGAAAAACTCATATTGGACCTTTCAGGTACCAACCCACACAAAATGCCTTACTATATAAAAACAATTGATATTTATTATTACAAATCAATATGATTTGTAGTTTTTGTAACTTTTATTTATAAGGATGACATGGTGACGTGAAATGCAATACACACACACAAGAGATGTTTTACTGAGCACCTAGCAGAATCCTATACTCGCCCTGGGGTCGCCCATCCGGGGATGTCTTTAACCGATCAGGAATTAATCGGTGTGCACTCTCCACATGCAATCAATGCAAATGCTCCGGAGGAAGCGATATATTCCGCAAAAGGCGCAGAGCATATCCCATCTCAGAATATTTCTGGTATTGAGAGTATATGTTACAATCTAATAGGGCTGTGGAAATTAAAGATTCATTTCTCGATTAATCGTTAAACTTTTTGATCGATGAAAATTATTTTGATCGCTAATGAAAACACAGAGTTTGCCCAAGAAACTTTCTGCACGAGCGCCAGCCAAGGCATTGGCCTATACACATACAGCACAGCAATGAAGTAATAAAATGATTAATAACGTGTTGGATTAGTGTGATCCTAGTTCATTGTATTACTTCATTGCTGTGCTGTATGTGTATAGGCCAATGTAGTTGGATCTGTATGTGCGTTATAATTAATCGAATTAATCGATTAATAAAAAATTTGATTAATCGAACATGAACATTTTAATCATTACCAGCCCTACAATCTAACAAACTATGAGTTTTTCAAGATTTGGTGAGTAAGGATTTTTGTGGATATGGTACCCCCCAGTATCCCTGAACTGGTATACAATATGTTACATTTAAAGGAGAACTATGAGGTGAGTGATTTCCACTCACCTCATAGTTCTAAGCCGACCTGTGACAATGAGACTGTCACAGGTCGGCTCAGTAGATCGGGAGGTGAGGGAACACATACCGGGTTCACTCACCTCTCGATCCTGTCACGGCTCTCTGCCATGACAGGGGAGGGGCTGGATTCCCCTCTCCCCGCTCCGATCTGCCAGCGCTGACTGGCGGAACGGACGGGGGAGGGGGCGGGTACAGCTGGCTCTGCCTCTAGGTAGGCAGAGCCAGCTGTCACTCACGCAGCTGGGCGGATCCCGTCATCTAAGTCGGGATCCGCTCCAGGTGCGGCGTCTCAGTATACCGCGAGCTGTAGCTCGCGGTATACTGAGCTTAGGGTGACGGGAGGACGCTAGTTTGTGTCCTCCCGTTACCCTAAGGAGAACTATGGGGAAAAACACTGACCCCATAGTTCTACTTTAATAATATTACACAGTTGACTGTCTTTGGATGGCATCAGTTTGAGATGTTTTTGGGATCATTCAAAATTCATTGACAGGTGCATTTGACCAGCAGTTGACTTCCTACTGACTTGCATTTGACTTAAGGTGCCCATACACTGCTCGATTCTCGTACGAGAATCGATCGTACGAGAATCGAGCAGCGTGAACGAAGACGTGCGACCGTTTCTACTGTACGGTCGCACGTCTTGTCTAAGGAGCATGTTAGAAAACCAGCCAAAAATCGTACGATTTTCGGCTGGTTTGAACGGTGCTCGGGAGACAAATGCCGAACGGGCTGGTGTGCGCACGCTCACACTGCCCGTTCAGCAATGCGGTCATCGGAAGCCCGCCCCTCAGGGGGGCGGGCTTGCGATGATCGAGAGTGCGATCTGCCTGTCCAAGATGGGCAGATCGTACGTTTTTTTCATCACTTTACAACCATCGCAAGACTAAGGTCTTGCGATGGTTGTGCAGTGTATGGCCACCTTTACATAGACTTGTAAGGGAATGCCAAACCCATCTGACGAGAGCTGAAGCCTGTTGGCACAGACAAAATCTGTAGCATATCAGTGTACACGGTACAAGCTTGTAAAAAGGATCGCTTGTAGGCGGCATGGTGGATTTACCATATCGTAAACTACATTGTTTCCTTCTCATACCTGTGGTTGTCTCTGAGCTGGTTAGATTGTGTGCTTACAGCAGGTAGTTGCACTTAGTGTCAACAGAAGTAATACATTTCCAGCAATCCTATGAAACTAAACTCTGCTATCTCTAATGAGAGCTCTGCAAACATTTTTTCCGGCACTCACAGAGTTACTGAGCTTTAATGCATCTCCATAGCACCACATGTCAGAGAAAATCTGCAGTTATGGGTAATTCAGAAACAGCACAAAGAAGGAGCCGTACCACTTCAGATACAAAAGGCTCGCAGGATAAATCTCTGCAAAGATGTGGGCTTGTGGTAGAGGAAGTGGCTTAGGTGGCCTCCTCAGAGGGACTGACCCAGGAAAAGTGTATTGCCCCGTTATTGAATGTTTCACTGGGTGTGTATATACAGTAAGGTGTCACAAGTGTAGTGTGTATGTCCTTTAAGCTGGCCATACACCTTCAGGTTTCATGAGCAAGAGAGATCAATTGATTCTAAACAGCGTTGATGAAGGAATCTCCTCTGCCAGCAGCCGGTGAAACATGAAGCCGGAGTTGTGACTTCTCTAGTTTCATGCTTGTTCTTGGTTTGTAACTCAGCATATAGACTCCAGGTAACCAGGTTAGTAGCATTTTCCAAAGAAGGTCAGCAATGGCACCCTCCTTATTTCTCTCAGTACAGGTTTCCTTTAAAGGGACCCGTCGATCGCCAAAGATATTGCAACTGTTCCCTGCAGTGGTATTATAACCACCATTCTGGCAGCCTATGTCTCTTACCATTGCTCCATTCCAGAGCTGAAGACTCCATCGGAATCTTCAGGGCTGGTGCACACAGTGTCGAATGCTGTGGATTCTGATGGAGGCTGCAGTGCTGGAATGGGGCGAATGTAGGAGACATAGGCCACAAAAGAGGTGAGCATATTACAACCTTCAATTGTTATTTTCTAACTGACAGTGTTATTTTTGAATGGCAACAGAAAATACATATTTACTAGATATAAATGTTTACAATGTAAAATTGGATGAGATTTCGGGTCTACGTATACACAAATATGCTTAAGGTAGATAGAAACCCAATAAAACCCAACCCCTTAACCTTTCATATAATCTTTAAAGTGACACTAAACTCAGGAGTTATATCTAAAAAATACATTCAAGTTCCTTACCTAATAACAATGTATCTTATTTGTGTATCACTCGGCTGTAGATCCTCCAATCATCTCTGAATTGGTGCTGACACTGTCCTTCCTTCTGGAGGGGGGCTACTTCTGTCCCCCATGGTCCCTGTGAGTGTTGTAAAGTAGTCACCGCTCCAAGCTCGCCCCCCGGGATGGACTACAATCTCATGTTTAGTTTACTCATTTGTACTGATATTCAGTACAAAGGCAGGGTCAGCGCCAATTCAGAGATGATTGGAGGATCTACAGCCGAGTGATACACAAATAAGAGACATTGTTGTTCATAGTTAAGGGACTTGGGTGTATTTTTAG